AGGTAGGTAGGACAGGTGTAACATTCACGGTCAAAGTCTCATTACAGGATTAGGTAGGTAGGACAGGTGTAACATTCACGGTCAAAGTATCATTACATGATTAGGTAGGTAGGACATGTGTAACATTTAAGATAGAAGTCTCATTACAGGATTAGGTAGGTAGGACATGTGTGACATTTAAGATAGAAGTCTCATTACAGGATTAGTTAGATAGGACAGGTGTAGTATTGTATGTCCTTATCAATAACATGAGAAATACTGACCTTGACCTTGGAAGGTGAGTGGACGGCTGGTCAAGGTGGTGGACTGGGTGGAGGTACCAGGAATGACCAGTGTCCAGAGTATCACACTACAGTCATGCATGATACTGACCAGGCTCTGTCCATCCACACTGAATTCCACACTTTGGATCTGAAACAATCAGATATACTGTTTACTACGACAAAATTACAGTAAATATTGTATCTACAGTATTATACAAACTGATGACTAATGTGTAAAATGTATATATATTAGTGATGACAATCTTACACTGATATAAATTAGCCTAAATATGGTTTCTGGGCAAAACAGGAATAAGAAAATTGATGTTGAAATTTTCTACCTTTGTACTGGTAAAAATATAACATAATTAATGTTTTATCATGAAATATACTACATAATACAATCTACAAAAAATCTTTCCTCCAATATCATCCTCCACCAATGATAAAAGGATTATAGTGTTTTTAAAACTTTTCTTTGAAAACAATTCCCAGGAAAGTAGACAGATATTTTCATGGACAGTCTAATATTGCAATGTTCAGGCTGTACCTTGTGATCCAGTCTGTATGTCGCCACACATGCCAGCGTCTCTTTGTCCCAAATACGCAGCGAGTTCTCCTCTCCACAATTTCCGAAGGAGACGAAGTAAGGACTCTTGTCATGATTCTGGACGAGCTCTGCCAAAACTGTGTGTCCCTCAAGTCGCTTTATCAGTTCACCTACATAAATATACAAATTTTCTCAATTTATGTTATTCTAATAGCTTTATAATAATAAGTTGACTATTAGAAACAAGAGGCCCATGGGCCCTAGTGGTTACCTGAGTTCTGATATATCTATACAAAGAGCTGATTTTTGTTTTTAAAACATGAACAGAAATATTATTCAAAGTCCAAACCACCTTATTCAATATCAAGCATACAGATTTAAGACTGAAAAGTATTTGAAACTAGCACCTCTGTTTTTAAACAGGGAAAAAGAAGAAATTTAAGCACACTGACTCCTTTGAGGTAGGGCTGACTAAAAAAATTCAAAATATCGCACTGTCAACTCAGAGTTATATTTCCAATCAAATTATCAACATGTAATATCCAAAGTATCATTTGCCAATATAAACCATTATAAATCCCCAATGATAAACGTGAGACCCTAAGGTCATAAAATTCGCAATTTTGGTAGAGCATCTTAAAACCCTTCCATCTATGAAGAGTATTTGATTCTACCATATCTGGGTCTTGAAAAGATTTTGAAATTTTAGTCAATTTGACCAGTTTTGGCCCCACCCATCAGCTCCTGGGGTTCAGTCAGAGCTGATATGCGCATACCATCAAACTGCTTTCCAATACTGATAATGCTAACCCAAATTGAATTACTTCCAATGGAAATTAAACAAATGTTGGTCCAAAATGTGATTTCCCTATATAAACTATAGTAAAGTTTTCCCCCTCCCCAGAGGGAAACGTGAGACCCAAGGGTCATGAAATTCATAATTTTGCAAAAGCACATTAAGACCCTTCCATCTATGAAGAGTATTTGATTCTACCATATCTGGGTCTTGAGAAGAAGATTTTGAAATTTTAGTCAATTTGACCAGTTTTGGCCCCACCCATCAGCCCCTGGGGGTTAGTCAGGGCTAATATGTGCATACCATCAAACTGCTTTCCAATACTGATAATGCTAACCCAAATTGAATTACTTCCAATGGAAATTAAACAAATGTTGGTCCAAAATGTGATTTCCCTATATAAACTATAGTAAAGTTTTCCCCCCAGGGGGAAACGTGAAACCCCAGAGTTATGAAATCCACAATTTTGGTAGAGCACATTGAGACTTTGTCTCAGGTGACCTAAAAATTCTTGACTTGAAGTTGCATGGTCAGTCATTTTTTAAATGGTCAATGATGCTAAAATGAATGTTGACCAGTAACAAAAGATGGACGCGATTACCATTTTCTGCCATATATTGCCGATATTTCTGTTGAATAACTTGAATGCATTTACCTGTCTTGATGTTCCAAACCCGGAGGAAAAAGTCGTTACTGGAGGTGACCAAACGATCATCATCCAACAACATAGCCTTGTCCACATCAGTATCCTGGTCCTTCAACACTCCCTGTGTTCTGTACATCCTGTAGTAATCCTGGTCCATACACCAGTGGGTGATCTTTCCTAAAGTAGCGCATAGATATTAGTAATAACTATTCTACCATGTCAGCAGTGTAACAATACTTTTCTTTGATCAACAATCATGGATTATGGTAACACAGACCATGCACAAAGTGTGTAGATAATTGTATCTTTCCTGAAGCAATCAATACATATTACCTTATTTGTCCTGGAAAAAAAGGAAAACCGGAACCAACAGGGGAAAATGTAACAAAAGAAAACATCTGCAGAGTGAGAATGCCAACTAGCCGTATTGACAGTTCAATGTTTTTTTTCGATGCAATTTTTAGTTAATTAGTATTATGTACTTCAGTTGGTTTTGCCATACTTTTAATTTCCTGTACTCAATGTAAAACAAGAGTTAGATATCATACTTCAAAGTTGGTCAAATAAGTGGTTTGAGTAAAAACACTTTCCCCAAGGTGGATTTTTGAAAAACGAAAAATAAAATCTGTTTCCATTATGTCAATGTTAAACTGTGGACTGACTGGACAATGTACATGTCATTACGGGTTATACAGGTTAATATTGGTTTTACATGAACGGACACCTCCTGAAATTACACACAACAAAAAGATATGTTGCTAGATAAAGCCTGGTAAAATTGCTTTTGACTGACAAAAAAAAGCAGTATGTCTCACCTTGCTCGATGTTGTGTACACCTATACAGCTGACTGGATTCATCTTTCCCTGGATGGTCGGGTCAGGGAAACTTTTGTACGTATGTATGGCTAGATACGAACTGTCCTGTGGCAGGTAAGCTGCCCATAGTGTATTGTTACGGGAAGTTAACTTCAAGACATGTAAGCAAACATTCTGAAGGTAATCAAATATAACAATAGGACCCTCATCATCTATGTGACAAGCCATCAGATTTGTCTTGTTGACCTGAAACAAAACAAATAACAGTATTAATTTTTCAAAATAAACAATAAATTGAATTGATTTCGAGTATATGTAATGAATAAGAGCCCCAATGGGCCTGTATCACTCACCTGTAATCATTTAATATGTGTGACCTTCAAAGACAGTCAAGGTCAAACTTATTTGAATACTCTCAGTATCATTAGTCTACATATCATGGGTCTTTGATGGAAGTTGACCTAGGTAATTCGTTAAGATCCTACAATTCACAACACTTTAAACTTTTAAACTAAAGGCCAAATATTGTGACCCTAGGCCTCTGGATTATTCAGTTATTCACAAAATGTTGTTCAAAGGATTTGACCATAGTAACCCTGCCAAAGTGTCAAGGTGATTAATTTGAACAAACTTGATAGTCTTTTATCCCAGCATGCTACATAACCTTGGTCTCTTGCTTATACTGAAAAAAGTGTTTAAAACATTTAAAAACATATTTTACCCGGCTTGTGACCATGCCATGAAATGAAACTTGTTAAATGTTGTAAAATAATGATGACCAACATTAAGTTCCTATGTACTTACTATAAGTGAGTGTTGGTCGAACTTGTTGTATTTGCTCTCCCTGACTTCGGAGGGTGCGTGCAGTAGACTGACAGTTTTCCCTGTCTCAATGTTGTAGGTCTTAAATCCATGTTTCTCCTGCATCAGTGTCAAGATTTCTGTAAAATTATTAGCAATCAACAGAAACGTACCACAGGTACACCAATTACAACAGACAATTAGGGTTCCCTTTATCACACAAGCCATTCCGATTGATATGTCTCGCCTGTGCCCCGCTTTGACCATCAATGCACATATCAGAGAAACTAACTTAATGGAAGAACTTAATGTTGATGGATAATGTGACAAAGTCAATGGACCATGAAAGGTAGACTGCATCCAGCATTTGATGCATGGGTTGAGATGTACTACCTAAGATACAGCTATGGTCCAAATGAAATTGATCTAGCACTTATTCTTTTAGTGAAACTTATTTAAAGACAAAAACTTAATGTTAACGCCGCTGTCGTCACCAGAAAAGCAACACCTTAGTCTTCCGCTACTTCGTGGCGGCGAGACAAACATGTAATTAAACACCTGTGGGAGGATATCATTCACCTGTTACTGAATGTTGCCTGGACAAAGAATAGTTCTTTGTTAACATTATTTTGATTTATAAATTAAAGAATTTGGCTACATTTCAAAATTGTTTTTAAATCTGACCTAATGAAGTTTGATCATTGGGAATTATCTGAGCTAATCAAAAACTAGGATGTCTGCACCGAAAAATATCAAAACTTGGTATATGTATGGGTCTTCAATAGGTTATTTGTCCTTTTTGTTGCAATTGGTCAAAAGTAAAATTAGTCAATGATACAACAATCTCAGAAGTTCTAGTAGGCCCATCAGAAGAGGGCGAGGAATTGAAAATCTTTATCCCTTCAGTCATGAAATTTTTCATCTAAGACATTCATTATACATGTATGTCAAATTAAAACTCTATTTAAGAAGTCTTTTAAAATATAAACCCATTTACTCTTTTTTTGCCCTATCCCTGGGTTTATTGTTCCTATGGTGCACTTCAACATTCGTTCATTACTTAACTTATAAGTTCAGAAGAAGGATCTATGAAGAAGCATTTCTAACAATGTCAATTCTTTACCTTTTCCATCCTTGATGATTTCCAGTTTTTGACCATAGCGGCACAATTTCCCCTCAAACACCCGTGTCACGGTCATCGTATCCAGATCAAAGACCTTGAGCTTTCTGGTGTCAGTGGCTAGGATCACCTCTGTATCACCAATACAATGCATGGCCTTTGGGAGGCCATCCACCTACCAATGAACAAAAAATGTTCTTTTAAATTACAGCTTCCAGGCTTAAGATTCCTTTAATACAACTAATTATTCTAATAATGATAATACAAATCTGTGTGGTGTTTTTTTTAAATATGATAACAATAAAACTCTTCTTGTAAAATTTATCAAATTCTTACTTCGGATCACAGTTATCTCAAAGTCATATAATCAAGAAATTAAGTTAAAATGAGAAGATCTTACCAATGCTCCGCGTCGGACAATCTTCCTCGTCACAAGGTCATACACCAGAACAGCACCAACTTTATAATCCTCGTTTTTAGTGCGTACCACCATGGCAACGTATCGAGGGTTGGGTAGGGCACAGTAACAGCTGCGTACAATCAGCATTGAAACATTGTACACATTATTATTTTCAAACTTAGCGCTAATTGTTTTATAGTTTTTGTGGTAGCTAGGGTAATCAATTCAAAATGAAGGTAGAGAGTCACATCACTTTTCTGATGAAATTATGTTAACTATCAAATTTAGCTTATTTCCTCCATTGTTCATTGAACACAATTACAGCCTACAGGAGTTTAGGTATTTTGAAATGAGTCCAAGCCATGTTGCAGAAATGTATTAATATAGCACAACATGACCATTGTAAGTACAGTTATTAAACTCCCATATTTATCTTCTAAAAGTCTCCGTTATTGAGATGGATTTGTACATGAATGTCAGGAATTTTCAATCATTTTATTCTTTCTATAGTAAATGAACAAGCAGATCCAGAAAAATACCAAACACAACAAGTTGGCAATCTTCTTTTTCGGAAATACAAGTACAACCAAAAGTTTTTATACTCTCTACCTTGAACATACAATACAACAAAAGGCAACATGCTTTAAAAATAACAACCTCATTTAAGATAAGTTTCATATTTACCAGTGCGTGTACTTGATGAAATAGGCTTTTTGCTTGGATAGAATGATTTACCATATAAATCTTGTGCAGGATAAGAGAGGGGACAATATATGGAACCGGTGCAAATAGATCATGACTTAGCCTACATCATTTTGTTAATATCAACTCATTCACCCTTGGAGACACATTTGAACTCTTCCAATTCAAAGATTGGAGTAGCTCATATGACATTTCAGGGGTGAATGAGTTAATATATGCATATGTAATATAAGCAGATCGTATCCATACCTGACTGATGTTCCCAGAAGAGTTTTGCCTGCTATTGTCTGTTTTTCTGGCCGGGTGATGTCCCAGACACGGACAGCATTGTCCTCCTCTGACAAAGTAATCAAAATCTTCCATGTGGTACACGTGACATTCACGATAGCAGAGAGGTGGGGCAGGATCTCGCGTCTCACCTCCGTCTCAAGGTCATACACAATGACATTTTGGTGATTAGTAAAGAAAAGCTGTTTACTGTCCAGAGTAAAATGTAAGCATTGTCCAACATCATCTGAATTTCCTAAGGACAAAAGATTCAAGAAGTTGTAATTTCCTCAAAAGTGTTTCATTGTAACATTGGTTATCACAACTTCAGTTAAAGGACAACAAAACCCATACAGCAAGTGCCTTTGATAATTAACACTTGTCAGTAGTGTAATCATAGATCTACATATTTACCCTTGATAGCACTTGTCTGTAGTGCAATCATAGATCTACACATTTACCTTTGATAACACTTGTCTGTAGTGTAATCATAGATCTACATATTTACCTTTGCTAACTCTTGTCTGTAGTGTAATCAATAGATCTATATATTTACCTTTGATAACACTTGTCTGTAGTGTAATCATAGATCTACACATTTACCTTTGATAACACTAGTCTGTAGTGTAATCATAGATCTACATATTTACCTTTGCTAACTCTTGTCTGTAGTGTAATCAATAGATCTACATATTTACCTTTGCTAACACTTGTCTGTAGTGTAATCATAGATCTACACATTTACCTTTGATAACACTTGTCTGTAGTGTAATCATAGATCTACATATTAACATTTGATATCTCTGGTCTGCAGTGTCATTAGTAGATCTACATATTTACCTTTGATAACTCTTGTCTGTAGTGTAATCATAGATCTACACATTTACCTTTGATAACACTGGTATGTAGTGTAATCAATAGATCTATATATTTACATTTGATAACACTTGTCAGTAGTGTAATCATAGATCTGCATATTTACCCTTGATAGCACTTGTCTGTAGTGTAATCAATATATCTACATATTTACCTTTGATAACTCTTGTCTGTAGTGTAATCAATAGATATACACATTTACCTTTGATAACACTTGTCTGTAGTGTAATCAATATATCTATATATTTACCTTTGATAACACTTGTCTGTAGTGTAATCAATAGATCTATATATTTACCTTTGATAACACTTGTCTGTAGTGTAATAAATAGATATACACATTTACCTTTGATAACTCTTGTCTGTAGTGTAATCAATAGATCTACATATTTACCCTTGATAACTCTTTTCTGTAGTGTAATCAATAGATATACACATTTACCTTTGATAACACTTGTATGCAATGTAATGCATAGATTTATATATTTACATTTGATTACTCTGGTCTGCAGTGTAATCCGTAGATTCACATATATACCTTTGATAACTCTTGTCTGCTGCAGTGTGTCTGTGCTGAAGAATATGAAGTCACTGTCTATAATACATGACACTACAAAACATCTTTCATCTGGTGAGACACACACCATGTCCACACTCAAGGTTGGTTCATCAACGGCATCATCTGGGGGTGGTTTGAACACTGTAATCCAATCTGAGAACTTTTCTTTCTCAAGGTCAAGCAAGGACACCTTGTACAAACTGGCCTCTGTCACCACGATATATCTCCCTGATCCTGATTTAAACATAAAGAGAAGATAACATCACGTTTCATCATTATCATAAACAAGTTACCATTAAATATTTAATCAACCAAAATCAAATATCAAAATGGGAAGAGTTAGACCGTATTAATTACCTGAATGTTTAAGCAATCATGGCAAAATATTCTCATTAAAAATAATATAGTCTGCTAATAAGACAGCATAGGCAGGTCCAGACCATGGCCATGCCCATTTGGCACAAACATGGTTTAATAACTGTGATTGTAATCTAGAACTAGACCTCATGGCTAATACTGTAAACATGTTGTGTATGTCACTTTATGCCCAGAAATTGTATCTATGGTAATAGGATGGGAATATGAACTATTGCCATGTTATGACTCGGGGACTTAATCAACAGGATCACGGCCAGACCGAGAGCAATCTTGGTAACATAATTGTGTTAAGCTCATAAATGGGTATAGGATTGATATCTTAAATGTTTTGATGTAATGATCCAGGGACTACATTGCAGGGCACCCAGGGGTGGGGCCTGACCCACAGGACAATCCTTGTAGCATAAGTTAATTGATTTTTCAGGCTAAACCATCGCATAATATATATATATGGTTATAGTGTGGGGATCTCAACCTGTGCCCTATTTTGTGACCCAGGGAACAAGTTCCAAAGTATGTAGTCAAACCCCAGAGCCAATCTGTATAGTATGATTGTACATGTTTGTCTCTTAAGGTTCAACAAGCCCCCTAATAGATGCAATAGTCACCCTAAATTTCAACCCCCTGGCAAGTCATATTCAAATACCCTTATCACAATTCGGAATATATATATGTCATTTACATATATTGAACTTGCACATGAGCTATCAAAAAGGTACATAACCAGTTTAACAAAGTCTGTTACATTTGGCGCCCAACGAAATATACCCACAGAAGGTGGTATAGGGTCTCGTGTATCTTCGGGGTCGAAGACTTTGTTAAAGGAGGGAGGAATGTAGTGGAACTGGACTGGGTCGATCGTTGGCGACCAGATAGCTCAATCGGTAGAGCATCCGTGTAGAGTTCGGAGGGTCCTGGGTTCGAACCCCGGTCTGGCCGTGCATTTTTCCTCTCCTGTTACATTTGTAACAAAAGTTGCTCACCAGATTTATAACATGTCAATCTCTTTAACAATTCAACTGAATGTTACGAAATGCCATGTTATTTGAAGATCATTTATATACCTATGTCATGCGGGGCTTTATTTCTCTTTAATTTTGTGTGGAGAGGTATTCCTGCCTCACAAAAAGACGATTGTTGCTTATAATGGGAAAGTACAAAAATCATAATAAAATGTCTGCGTAACATATTTTACCGGCAGATATGTGTAAAAGCATAGACTTTTGATCATAAACACTACTTAAACTTCATATAAAATGTCCTTTCTTAACATTCAATGTTTTTATAAAAGAGCTAGACTTGTTATAAACATAACTGTACTTTTCAGCTTATTTGAGGTCAGAATTCCTCTCAACAGCTAGTAGAAGAGAAATAAATAGAAGAAAAGAAAAAAAGAAATAAAGTTAAAATTATGGGTAATTTAGAGATTGACATGTTATAAGTCCAGTGAGCTATTTTTATGAAGACAACAGCCTTAATGCCTTATTTTTGACTACATTAACCTGGCTATGTATTTTTTGTTTAGCCAATGTACAAGTTCAAAATATACAAATACCATATATAAGTTCCAATTTTTAATTGAGGTCTTTGAACATGACTTATCAGGGGGTTGGAATTTTAGGTGACTACAGCATCTTTTAGGAGGCTTGTTGAACCCTAAGGCCAAGCTAGCAGGTTTATCGCTAAAAGGTGTTTATTTCATTTATTTCCTGATAATTACTTATTACTCCATTTTTGCCCTACCTCTCAGTTCCCTGGGGGTTCGGGAGGGGTCTAACGGTTAGGATTTGTTTGATACATTTGTAAATGTTATCTTAACACCCAAAACGACGTTACGCCGCGACGCCGTCAAAAGTCTCACACATTGTAAAACCCAGGGGAGGGAGATCTCCCACACTGGACTCCTAAGAGGTTGGCAACCCTGCTAACCCCTCTATTGTATATTTTTCTTTTCAATTTAATCAATCACTGCCTCAGTGTGCTTTTAACAATAAAGTTGAAATGGATCTCTAAGTTCCAGAGAAGAACTTGCATAAATCATTATGACCAAATTACACTTTTTAACCCCAACTTTCCGCTCCCTTCGATGTCACCCTCTGCATTTGTACACTTGTGAATCCCCATTAACTATTGATGTATCAAGTCATTTTTCTAAAAAACCCTCTAGCAGTTCAGAACCGTTGTTTAAGGAAATTAATGGTTGACAGACTGATGGACAATGAATGCCACCATACAGCATAAGCTCACCCTGGTGATCTTGTCACTATTCACTAAGTGTTATTTCAAATAAAAAATAAATTGCCACATTAAAACTTCAGACAGTAAATCAATAAAGACACCATACAAGATGCAAGTACACTCAGTGATTCTCTAACAACAAAGAAATTCAAGCGAACTAAACGTAAACTGATTTAAAATCAGAGTTTCATAACCTACAGTGACTGTTTATCATTGACAATTAAAACTTTAAAAAATAAGACCCAACAAAAACTAACTGAGTAGCAGTATCTGGACGACAGATAATACCTACAAGATTGATGCTAAAATAAGACCATGTTGATATCATTAACTGTTACCAACCGTGTATGAGATTCTCTTCCCCTTCGGTCATTCCGCAATCAACATTTTTTGTCTTCACCTTGGACTTTTTCTTCCCAGTGAAGGCATCATACAAGATGGCTGCCTGGTGGTCCAGTACTGTGAGTATATTTTTCTCGTGTCCGCCGACCCAGTACTGTGGACAGTTATTGAGGCTGTAGACCACCTCTCCTGAGAGACTGATTGCTTTCAACAGTTCTCCCTCGTATTCAGCCAGGATCAGTGAATCACTCGCCATGTACCGAACCCTTAAGGGGGTTTTACCGAGCTTGTTAAAAGACTTAATCAAGGTTCCGTCCCCTAAATTCCATAACTTTACACTTTGTTCTTCATCGTCGGCACCTATAGAAGTGGGAGCATACATACTCATCAGAAACACTCACCATTGTTACCATCAGGTTTAACTACCAAACTTTGACCACAAAACATGGTGATATTCCTATGTACATACTGTAGTTTGTTATGTCTAGAACAGACCAGAAATACAGTGATGATTTAAAGGTGATATACATAGTTTGCACTGTATGTGTGTATGAACATGTATGTCTTTTCCTCAAGAAAGGACGAAAAAAAAATAAGTAAACCAAACTATGTTTGCTTTCATCCTCTACCCAACGAAAGGATAATCAGAAATAACTTTTAAAAAACTAGAAAGTGGCCGGACCAATCAGGAAGATGCTTCACTATATACTAATTTGATGTTTAAATTTAGCCTTATAGTTCTACATTCAAAGATCATTTCTAACATTGATGGTTGTTTGGACAAAGTTAGCTACTTAAGCATCATTTGAAATGAGTTTTGGTTTTCACAACTGTTTTGATTTAATGGTGCATACCACATTTGATTGAAATTGGACCATTTTCAGGTCAGTAATATTGAATGGAAACTAAAACGTAATAGATAGAGGGACAGACACATCCAAATCTGCATCTTCCATTTCCAGTAAAAAGCAAGGGAACTGTGTTAAGCTTCAATTACTAAAAAGGTAAACTGAATATTGGTAGTTTAATGTTTGAGTCTTTAAGAGCCAAGTTTGACAATTTCTCGACATTCTTGACAAAGGGGAGTGATCTTCAAAACTGTCCTATTTTGATTAGGCCTTTCCCAAAATGTATTGTAGTTTAACACATTGTTCCATAATTTAAGAATTGTCAGTCAAGTTGTATGGATTTTATATATTGTTCCTTTAACGTTTTTGTTGTGCAAATTTTCTTCCTTTAACACATCTATGTGTCAGACAGAATGTAAACACTCACATGTGACGATGGTCTTGCCATCCCTGCTGATGTCCAGTCCAGTAACTTCAGCAGTGTGATCTGAGAGCAAGTAGACCAACTGACCACCAGGTTTGACCAGTATCTCTTGGTCAGGTAGTAAGTACGGTATAGAGATGTTTTTACACTGCTCACATAGCCCCACCAGCTCCTCATCCTTTATACAACAAACAACACTACAAACGTTTTAGGCTGTGATAAGGCAGAAAACAATAATTGTAACTAGAGTTGATAGATCAGTTCCGTATTTGGTAGTTTTCATCTTTGTTTTTTCTTTATTGATCATATTTTGCAGAATGAAACATTACATATTTATATGGCTGTAATGTGTGATCACTCCTTTGATTATTCTCAGAACTGACAAAATAGGTATATCGTAATTAAATTAAAGGTATATTGGCCACAAGGATTAAGTTAAGGATTAAGTTATAACTACCAGAAAAATAGCAGAGTTTTACATTGGAAAGTAAACAGTTTGCAGGATAATTATTCTTTAATTTTTCAGAGTCATTGAAATATTCCACACATAAAAGACCTTTTTACAGCACGTTTCCTTACTATAGATTTTGTCACTTTTTAAGGGAGTGTTGTACAGGCAGTATTAACACACACATGAGTGAACTGTGATAGTTATCGCAAAATATCTTTTTATTAACTTAAGTTAAAGTAGTGGCACCAATGTCCAATGAGTTGTACTGTAGGTGGGTAGACCAGTGGTCAGCCGTGACCATGCAGGGTGATGGGTATCCGATATGTAAATATAAGGGGAGGTGTTCCAATCACAGCACAGCTCAGGCGTCACCAGTTTGTGTGGGTGTTTACTATGGCCAACTGGTTTTGCCTCTCAAGTTGAGGCTTCATCAGGACCCAGTTACAATGTTTCAGACACCTAATTCTAATCACTCCAGGATGGATGGACTCAGCTAGGGGATGTAGGAGTAAATCGGAGAACATGAAGGAAGCCCAAGTGGTTGAGCAGGTGACCAATACGTATACCTTCCCATACGTGATCGGGGACTCAAAGACTGGCCATATCGGTGAAGGTTGAAGAACATATGCTCTACCCACTGCACAATCTGTTCTGACCTCTGACTATCACACAGCTTTAACTCTACACCAGCGAAGAGTAAGATATGTTAGACTTTTACTTGATATTATCAAAATCTTTTAAGGCAGTGGGAGTCTAGAATAACTTTATTTAATCAATAAATATTTGTTGATTGCTAACCTGAAAGCCAGTGAGCCGGTCAAGGAGCTGTAAGGCCAACTGATGAGGGTCGTACACTAAAGCCTGCTTGGAGAGCTGTAGACATTCCTGGAGGGTTGCGATAGCATTGTCCTCGGGAAACTCCTTCTTGGCCAGTTGGTAGTCAGACACCACGCTCCTGCAAGAATTTATAAGTTTACAGGCATCTTCATTCAGTTTTTGAGATTGTGATAGAGGTGTATTATAAATCATCATATATACTAGCAACACTTAGGGAAGCCATTCAAAAAAAAAAAAAATATGCAACAATATCTATAAGCAATGACACAAATCCAAAAAAAATACAAAAACAGTAGAGTTATCTGCATTATAATTCACATCAGATGAAAGTAGTGAAAAAACAATAATTCTGGGTTATGTTTGTGCATTTTTTTTTAAAAACTGCTGGTAAGGCCTATAACTTAGATGCCCTATGTTCAAAATTTGAACCTGCCAAAGTGTCTAGGTTTATGTTACTGTAGCTCTGATGTTACCATGCCAACCTAATTAGACAAAGACAAAATACTATTCCAGACAATCAAAGACTGGAGGAATAAGTTCCAGTGTAACCTTAGCTGTAGTGTTAGTACCCCGACCTGATAGAGGAAGTACCATTACTCTGGACGATCAGTGAATTATTTGTGAAGGAGTTTCCAATCCAATGTTAACTGTAGCTACAGTGTAAGTATACTGACCTGAGGGATGAAGCCAACAATTTGGCCTGTAGGAAATCCAAGTGTAGTAAGCACTGATTTTTCAGGTCCTCAAGATTTCTGGCCATGGTTAGGTGGAAGGGTAGGTTGTTGAGTTTCCTAAGGTTGTAGTTGTCTCCATATCTGAGAGGCTGTGCTGCAGAGTGGCGGTCCTCTAACCCATCCTTACCTGATCTGTCTGTACACGGCTTCTTGTTCCCTGTAGATATATACCACAATATCAGTAGAATATATCACTACCTGGGTACTAATTACTTTTAATATTTAATTCTTCGTCTATGGCGACACATTTACAGGAAAAGATCTTCTTTTGTGTCTCCTGAAGTAAGGACTTGTTCATAAACCCAACTTCATTTTGGGTACATTTTGTTTAAAAGTAAATTCATAAAATATATACATGCATATGTAAGTTGTTGCCAGTCTATATATAGTGTACAACTGTGTATATGGACACCTATCCATAGTGGAAACCCAACCATACTGGACACATGTCTGTAAAGGACACCTACCTATAGTTGTAATCTGTTTATAGGGACACCTGTCTATAGTTGTCACCAGCCTTTAGAAACACCTATCCATACTGGACAAATGTCTGTAAAGGGCACCTACCTATAGTTGTCACCTGTTTATAGGGAAATATATCTATAGTGGACACCTAAATATAGTGGAGACCTATCTATAGTGGACACCTTTCTATAAGGACACCTGTATATAGACATATACCCATAGTGGAAACTTACACATACTGGATACATGTCTGTAAAGGGCACCTATATTAAGTTGTCACCTGTTTATAAAAGCACCTTTCTTTAGAGATACATATCCATAAGGACACGGTACCTGTATAAAGACACACCTATATATAGATGTCACCTTTCTATAGAGATACATATCCATATATATAGTGGACACATATCCATAAAGATACCTGTGTATAGGGACACCTATCTTTAGTTGTTACCTGTTTATCTGGACACCTCTCTATAGAGACACATATCCATACTAAACACCTATCAATAAACACCTATATATAGGGGACACCTATCAATAAGGACATCTGTCCAAAATATGCACCTTTCTTTAGTGGACAACTGCCTATATATGTTCTGGGTTTTTTTCCTTTTCTATTTAAATATTTTATAAACTCACCATTGCTCCACTTTCCACTGAAGAACTCTGCGAGTCCTTGATGAAGATTTTGGATGACTTTGACTCCACAATATCGTGCCGTGGCCGCCTCTATGAATTGTCGGTGGTACCAGTACATAACACGGATCCCATCGGCTCCCCTCTCCACTGAAACACATGTTGATTGATTAATAGTACATGTTCATGTATTCAGCTGACACCATTAAAAATTATAAAGCTTTTTTTTAGAATAATTAATCTTATTTAGAAAAATATTTGCTTATTAACTTGATAACACTACAATGGTCAGGGGAATGGTGTTACAAATGCATAAGACTGAACACTTAGTTTGGAATGACATTTGTGTGACACCACAGGTTGGGGTGACTGTTACAGAAATGAAAGCCTTCTGACATCCTACTGTCTCAACAATGCTCCAGAAACCTGCCACATGTTCACTTTTTTCTATGTTCTACAATAACTAAGGAATATATACACGTTATATTTACCTACGTACTCCTGTAGGTCTGTCCTCAGTCTGACCAGGAGGAGAGGGGGCAGTCTCCTGACGGGAGGGGTCCAATAGACGTATACATCATTGAGGACAACATCGTCACACGACAGGATGTCTTCTAACTCCGACTCTGACAAACCATTGGTGGCTGCAATATCAATTTAACAAACATGTTTTAGAAAGCAAAATATTACGAGCAATCTATAGTTTCCCACCTGAAATCAAATATAACTGTCACAAGAATGGCAGACATGTACCCTACCTGTGCCAAAATCTGTAGGAATATTTTTTTTGTGAACATGTTTTTGAACAAAGCTACATGATTCCTTAGATAAATGGTGTTACATCCATTTTTTTCATAATTTATATCCCTTCAATGCTAGCTACATTGTTTTTTAATGTTTTTTCAAGAAAGGGCAATATATAACTTCAATGAAGGTGGGGATGGGTGGTTAATTATCAGTTTATTTTACCTGTAGTCAAATATCCAAGAGCATTAGAGACCAAGATTTGTCCATGCTTGACCTCAAGTTGGGAGAACAGGAGGTCAATGCTATCTCGGATGGTAGATTGTAGCCTCACATCCTCTGGTGGGGAGAATGAATTCCATTTACAAGCCTGGTCAAACGACAGCTTCAGGAACAGAGGAATAGGACAAGTATCAAAGGCATCGGTCAACGTATCCCGCTGACCAGTGGTCAGTGTACGCTTATTGGCATGAAGCCAGCTATCGATAATGCTGTTAACATCTTCTTTGTCAAGAACAGGGACTGGCACCAAGTGTTTTGGCATTTTCTTGAGTTTTCGCTGAAATTGATAAATAAAAGAATTTGGGTACTTAAGGTATCAGTTTATGTACTGTATGTTAGTTATATTGTTGTTTATTTGGTGTTGTTAGATAAACTCAAGTTCAGGTTAATTGTATTCTCATTTACCTTACGTAAATGTTGAGAAGATACAACATATGGTTTCACAATGATATATACACATAAACAATAATTAACCATGACAGTAAAAAAAAAAATGCGTTATAACAGTCAGGAATTTTTATCAGATTATAGAAAATCACAAAATTTGGCCTAGTATTGTATCAAGGCCGAGGGTGGGTATACAAATATATGTTGTGCACAAGATGCTGGTTTTGGCACTTACAGTATAATTAGTTGATTGAATTTGTCTCCTAGATGGTACAGGGTATGGTGCCACAAGTTTATAGATGTTATACACAGTTGTTTCTAAATGATGCAGGGTGATTAAGACAGGTTTTATCAGTTATGTCTTAATTTTTTTTATTTCAGATGAGAAAACAACAAAAAGATTTCTAGTTTTTGCAATAACGTAAAGATCCTTTTATAATAGTTTAAACTGAAAGATAACCTTTAGTTCTGTCTTAAAAATTGATGAATGGTTTCTAATAGATAAGTTGATAACTACATGTAACATTACCTTAAGGGAAGGAAAACATTCATACACATCATCCTCCAAAGTAGATACAATGACTTTCACAGTGTCAGGCAGGCTAGCCGGAAGCCAATTCAGACTGCGGCTGTTGTTGGCCGGATCGAGCTGGTCAAGGGAGTCCAGAATAATCACCAACGGTCGGGTAGGTTTAACCAGGTGTAATGCAGATTTAAAAGCCTTGACCAACAGTTTGATGTCCTTTAAATATTATATCATCATGTGTGTCAAGAGCAATTTTCAAATTAAAATGCTATAAAAATCCTGACTACATGTACAATGTGTATTGATGAAGTATGATCATTTTGGACACTTGAAAAATTGGTATACGTATATCTAGTAGATCCATTGAAACAGTAGCTGACTTTTCCTATGAGGTTGTAGATAAGCAGTATTGAACACAGATATGTATATCTACACATCTTTTTGAAAGTTTCGACAAACCAATCTATTTCTGTACTTGATTTACCTGGTAGCTAGATGAATTTACCTGGTATACTAATGATGATGCTAGATGAATTTACCTGGTATACTAATGAAGATGCTAGATTACCTCCCCTTGACCATTGCACTCATGATAACATACACTAACAATGAGGAGAAGTTAACCCGAAGTTTTTTCCTTAAATAATCCTTTTCCTGCTGCAGGCGAAACCCAGTCTACAGAGCAGTCGGATATTTTTTACACCAACAGTCACCTCCTACTAACTTGTTTGGATATAATTTTTGATGTCGTTAGGAGACTATACCTCTGGTCAAGTAACTCGATCGACTATAGTTGCTTATATCAAACAAATTGTGGTCATAGTCCTAAGGTTTGAATTCAAGCCCAGCCCTGTTGTATTTTCATACTGAGAACACTCCTGTTGTAGGTTATTTTTGTTTATTTTGCTTTTATTTCTTTTTTCATAATAGTTTCCAAAGGAATGTATTCCTCTCCAGAAACAATATTTAAAACTAGGTATGTGTCATGCCAGTAAAATGGTTTCTAAATGCACTTTAACGATTTTTAGCAGCGGTACAGGGACCCAGAAGAACAAAGAACTTGGAGCGTTGTGGACATTTATGGCCTCATAAAAAGCAAAGATTTCAACTTTAATTTATTTACCAATTTCTGTTATTATTATAAACATCATATTGGCTAATTTGGACTATCTTTCTTGGTGCAGATTTTTTCAATGCAACAAAACTCAGTTGCTATGCAGAAATAGTCAAAATATGGTGTTTTTGGACAGTTACCATGCAGAAATGAAAGCCTCCACATATGACAAACAAAAAATCCTTTCCAGAAGTGAACACCGATATGACAATGTTTAAGCATGTCAAATATTTATTTGATTGTTGCATACAGAGGCCTTCAAAAATTGAAGATCGTTAAGTTGATATTCTGCAAAATGGCCAGTTTTCAACCGAATAGCGCATAAAAGACGATATTCATGCATTTATTATGAAAATGCTGGTATATGTCTCTCTTTGTAATGCCATATCTCTTAAACCAGTTGTCGAATGAATTTGAAATTTCATATTTGAGTTCTTCATTTATTAAAGATTATGAATATAAAAACTAATTCTAAATCCTCAATGAGGCCAGAAATTACCCTTATCGCCCTAAGTCCTTCAAATTTCTCATTTATTTCAAATTTACATATTTCAACCCTAATTCTTTTTTATCACATTTATTGCAGAATTATGAAAAGGGTTTTTATACACTTAATTTGCTTCCAAATTCAGTTTGCCGTTTTGTCAATAAATTGAATGAAATGTTATTTTGGAAGCACGGGATAGCTATTGATTGTCACATATATTAATCGTGAAGATCGTGGTTTATAGGTCATTACAACACATATTTTTGGGAAAAGGAAACCAGGGAGACCAAGAATCACCTTGCGAAGAACTGTAACAGCAGAATTGGAAGCAATGGGTTACACCTGGGGCCAAGTCCAGTACATGGCTAAGGCCAGAGAGAAGTGGAGGCAATGGGTTACCCCTCGGGCCAAGCCCAGTACATGGCTAAGGGCAGAGTGAAGTGGAGGCAATGGGTCACCCCTAGGGCCAAGTCCAGTACATGGCTAAGGACAGAGAGATGTGGAGGCAATGGGTTACACCTAGGGCCAAGCCCAGTACATGGCCAAGGACAGAGAGAAGTGGAGGCAATGGGTTACACCTCGGGCCAAGCCCAGTACATGGCTAAGGACAGAGAGATGTGGAGGCAATGGGTTACACCTAGGGCCAAGCCCAGTACATGGCCAAGGACAGAGAGAAGTGGAGGCAATGGGTTACACCTAGGGCCAAGTCCAGTACATGGCTAAGGCCAGAGAGAAGTGGAGGCAATGGGTTACACCTGGGGCCAAGTCCAGTACATGGCTAAGGGCAGAGTGAAGTGGAGGCAATGGGTTACACCTGGGGCCAAGTCCAGTACATGGCTAAGGGCAGAGTGAAGTGGAGGCAATGGGTTACACCTGGGGCCAAGCCCAGTACATGGCTAAGGACAGAGAGATGTGGAGGCAATGGGTTACACCTAGGGCCAAGCCCAGTACATGGCTAAGGACAGAGAGATGTGGAGGCAATGGGTTACACCTAGGGCCAAGCCCAGTACATGGCCAAGGACAGAGAGAAGTGGAGGCAATGGGTTACCCCTCGGGCCAAGCCCAGTACATGGCTAAGGACAGAGAGAAGTGGAGGCAGTTTGTTGTGGCCTTATGTCCCACTGGGGATGAAGAGGATAAGTAAGTAAGTACAACACATATTTAATCTAACAAGTATTTTAGCCCGCTGAAAATACACAGAACAAATGATCGACACTGAACTGTCTGACTTACCTCAGGGATGTCTGGCTGGGTGTTGACTTACCTCAGGGCTGTCTGGCTGGGTGTTGACTTACCTCAGGGAAGTATGTCTGGGTGTTGACTTACCTCAGGGAAGTATGTCTGGGTGTTGACTTACCTCAGGGAAGTATGTCTGGGTGTTGACTTACCTCAGGGATGTCTGTCTGGGTGTTGAGGAGGGCATAGATTTGTCGGATAATGCTTGTTAACAGGCTGATAATGTTGGAACTATCAGGAGTTGTCCCAATAAATCTGTGATAAAAAATTACACAAGACATAATCTTTCTCCTTATGTTGTGATTCATTTTAATTGTAACAGAGGTCAATTTTTGTTCAATGTCTCGACTAGGAGTCGAACCTAGGAGTCGAACCTAGGACCTCTGGTTTACTAGTCTTACACGCTACCGAATGAGATAAAGAGAAATTCTCCCCAGCCAAGACAGTAGGAGGCAGCTATAGGAATCTTTAAGATTCTTACCAAGGTGAAATAACAATAACCATTTTGATAATCTCCATGGATTTTTACTATTTGTCATTGGAACAGTAATAAAGTTACTATAAAATACCTGGTAATCACCGCAGGTTTGCATGGGGTTTGTTCGTAGGAGCTTGGCACAAGGGCTGCCACCTTGGCGAGGATAGATGTCTTGCCACATCCTGACTGGCCATGTACTACCAATGGGCTCTTGCTATCATTGGTCAGATACGCTTTGATCTCCTGGAATGAGGTTTCCGGATACATAGGATCTATTATCTTGATCACAGAAGACTGGTATAGTATCTTTTAGTTTCTAAACTCAGTTTGGGAATTAAAATACTATCTCACTGACTTGTTCTCTTTGACAGTTCTGTGAAATTATTAGTTTGTATAAGGTGCTCCAGCCACAGCCTCATTTACTATTACATAAGGTTTACTACATCTATTTTTTATCAAAATATTGCTTTTTATTTAAATTCTAGTTCATGTTTTATTCAGCGAATTCCTATCAATCTGAAGTTTTACAGTTACTTGAACTGATTACTTCAAGCTGATATAAAACCTAGGTATCATGTGCCTGTTTTGAAAATGATTTTTGATGAAATATTTTAAATTTATTTACAGGAGCAAAAAAAAGATCTAATGATTTCTTTTGAAATAACAGCTCAAAAGATGCAATTTAAAATCATTGATTTTCCCTAGGGTGTACATACGTACATTTTAATTCTGAGTATGCGCAATCTCCCCCTTGGAAATTTCAAAAAGTTGGCAATTATGATAAAAAAATGCAGCAGTAGAAAGAACAGTGTGTAATTTTTACTACAAAATACAGAAAGCCAGGGATGATGTTTTTGATCAGTTAAATGGTATATAAATAATGTATAGCCTGAAATACCATATAATGGGAATTTTTGCAGCAGTTTAGCTAATACACCTTTTTTGCCCTCTGCAATCAAGGCAAATTTATCATCAAAAATAGTTATAAATAATAAGAGTGAATGGAAAAATTAGCTTTGAGTGAATATGGATTTTATCAGGGAAAGACAAAAGTTTGACAGAGTGAAGTTTCCCAAATTACAGTACCTCAAGAGTGACTTCCCTTCCGTGGAAATTTTTACATTTCTGCTGACAGAAGCGTACGTGCTGTAGACACTCAGCCTCCACGGGATCACTACTGTCTGTTACTGATCGCTCCTTTATCCCCTTTGTAATCATGTCCATCATTTTCTGAACAAAGTCCTCAGACATTTGTTTCAGGTACTTTTGGTGTTCCAACAGCTCAGGATTTATACCTAAATTTTTGAACAAAAAAACAAAACAAAAATGTCTGGTATGAAACCAAATCTTTTACACAATATGTAAATGTTAATTGTGACCATCACATAGTGGTTTTTCAATTCAATATTTATAACAGTTTACTGTGAAATAGACACATTATCTCCCCTTGATCATTATTTAACTTCTGTACATCGACCACTTGACCTAAAGAATTTGAATTTCATTTGTCTCATATCTCAGTGACCTTAACTATTAAACATTCACCAAAATTTCTATGAAAATCCACAAACACCTACTAGGCTATATTATAACAAAATTACTTACTGTAGGCTGAAGAATAGCTAAAGTGTTGAAGATGAATGTGTATTCAAACATTGACCTTAGCCTTATAGTGACCTCAGCCTTATAGTGACTTATAGCCTTATAGTGACCTCAGCCTTATAGTGACTTATAGCCTTATAGTGACCTCAGAGAAAGTAGCTATTCCTATAGTGTGGTAGGCTGAAGGCCAGTATACAATGTTGGGTCTGGGATGGGTATGCATCTCAACATCACTTTAGCATATTTGTTGCATTTCATTCCATACAATTTTAATCAAAATCAAGTGAAAATGGCCCAAGGAAAAAGTTAGAAACCTATATAAATCTGTTTCTTTTATATTTGATTTATAAATTGCACCTTGTAATTAGAAAACTAATAAACTTATAAAGATAATGACCACTTTGAAGTATGGTTGAAAGAATCGTTTTTAAGATCATAATTAATCAGGTTTTTAAATATACATAAGTAACAGGATGATTCAGTCTTAGCTATATATAGATGACCTTACATTTTCTGAGCACTCTATGACTGACCTTTGTCTGTCCAGGGTACTGAATAGGCGAGGAGGTTGTCACTTGGTAAGTGGTGCTGCATCTTCCTGTCCTTCAGGTCTGTCAGTAGGCCCTGTGCCAGCTTCACTGTCTCCTCATTTCCCAAACATTCTAAATACATATTTATGTACATGTAAATATCAAACATAAATATATATATATACTGTTGTATCTATAAATCTTCGCACAAATCATTACATTAATTTCCTACTGTTTCTCTATACACAGATACTTCTCCATACATATTTGTATGTTTAACTGACAGGAGGTACATGTAGCTGGGTTTCACCAATTTGTACCAATATAAATACACGCATCTTGTCAGTAAAGTAAATGTTCTCCTTACTTGTATATATCTCAGGGACATTTATTCACCTTATCCATATATCTTGGATAATTTTCTCAATCCAGATGTTATAGTAGTCAGAGAAAGCCAGGATTTGTTTGATTCATAGGTAAATGGTATCTTAACACCTGAAACGACATTAGCCGTGACGCTCTCGAAGGTCTCATACATTGGAAAACCCAGTGGAGGGAGATCTCCCACACTGGGCTCCTTACAGTTTGGCAACCCTGAACTTGTAGTTGTTTACCAAAATATCTAGAACACTGGAATGTGTTCCCTTTACTTAAGGTAAATAACTTTGCAGCTGGTAGTTATGTACCTATTCATATACCTATGGTAGTTGTTCACCTTTACCATTAATGTACCTTGGTAACCAATGGTTGTTCACCTTTACCAATGTTACTTGGTAACCAGTGGTTGTTCACCTTTACCAATGTACCTTGGTAACCAATGTTTGTTTACCTTTACAAATGTACCTTGGTAACCAGTGGTTGTTCACCTTTACCAATGTACCTTGGTAACCAATGGTTGTTCATCTTTGCCAATATACCTTGGTAACCAATGGTTGTTCACCTTCACCAATGTACCTTGGTAACCAATGGTTGTTCACCTTCACCAATGTACCTTGGTAACCAGTGGTTGTTCACCTTTACCAACAAACCTAGGTAACCAATGGTTGTTCACCTTTACCAATGTACCTTGGTAACCAGTGGTGGTTCACCTTTACCAACAAACCTTGGTAACCAATGGTTGTTCACCTTTACCAATGTACCTTGGTAACCAGTGGTGGTTCACTTTTATCAATGTACCTTGGTAACCAATGGTTGTTCATCTTTGCCAATATACATTGGTAACCAATGGTTGTTCACCTTCACCAATGTATCTTGGTAACCAATGGTTGTTCACCTTCACCAATGTACCTTGGTAACCACTGGTTGTTCACCTTTACCAACAAACCTTGGTAACCAATGGTTGTTCACCTTTACCAATATACCCTGGTAACTAGTGGTGGTTCACCATTATCAATGTACCTTTGTAACCAGTGGTTGTTTACATTTATCAATGTACCTTGGTAACCAATGGTTGTTCACCTTTACCAATGTACCTTGGTAACCAGTGGTGGTTCACCTTTATCAATGTACCTTGGTAACCAGTGGTTGTACACCTATATCAATGTACCTTGGTAACCAATGGTTGTTCACCTTCACCAATGAACCTTGTTAACCAGTGGTTGTTCACCTTTACCAATGAACATTGGTGACCAGCGATTGTTCACCTTTACCAACATACCTTGGTAACCAGTGGTGGTTCACCTATATCAATGTACCTTGGTAACCAATGGTTGTTCACCTTTACCAATGTACCTTGGTAACCAATGGTTGTTCACCTTTATCATTAATGTACCTTGGTAACTAGTGGTTGTTCACCTTTACCAATGAACCTTGGTGACCAGTGATTGTTCACCTTTACCAACATACCTTGGTAACCAGTGGTGGTTCACCTATATCAATGTACCTTGGTAACCAATGGTTGTTCACCTTTACCAATGTACCTTGGTAACCAATGGTTGTTCACCTTTATCATTAATGTACCTTGGTAACTAGTGGTTGTTCACCTTTACCAATGAACCTTGGTGACCAGTGATTGTTCACCTTTACCAACATACCTTGGTAACCAGTGGTGGTTCACCTATATCAATGTACCTTGGTAACCAGTGGTTGTACACCTATATCAATGTACCTTGGTAACCAATGGTTGTTCACCTTTACCAATGTACCTTGGTAATCAATGGTTGTTCACCTTTACCAATGTACCTTGGTAACCAGTGGTGGTTCACCTTTATCAATGTACCTTGGTAACCAGTGGCTGTTCACCTTTTACCAATGTACCTTGGTAACCAACGGTTGTTCACCTTTACCAATGTACCTTGGTAACCAATGTTTGTTCACCTTTACCAATGTACCTTGGTGACTTTTGGTTGTTCACCTATACCAATGTACCTTGGTAACCAGTGGTTGTTCACCTATACCAATGTACCTTGGTAACCAGTGGTTGTTCACTTTTACCAATGTACCTTGGTAACCAGTGGTTGTTCACCTTTACCAATGTACCTTGGTAACCAATGGTTGTTCACCTTTACCAATGTACCTTGGTAACCAATGGTTGTTCACCTTTACCAATGTACCTTGGTAACCAATGGTTGTTCACCTTTACCAATGTACCTTGGTAACCAATGGTTGTTCACCTTTACCAATGTACCTTGGTAACCAATGGTTGTTCACCTTTACCAATGTACCTTGGTAACCAATGGTTGTTCACCTTTACCAATGTACCTTGGTAACCAATGGTTGTTCACCTTTACCAATGTACCTTGGTAACCAATGGTTGTTCACCTTTACCAATGTACCTTGGTAACCAATGGTTGTTCACCTTTACCAATGTACCTTGGTAACCAATGGTTGTTCACCTTTACCAATGTACCTTGGTAACCAATGGTTGTTCACCTTTACCAATGTACCTTGGTAACCAGTGGTTGTTCAACTTCACCAATGTACCTTGGTAACAAATGGTTGTTCACCTTTACCAATGTACCTTGTTAATAAGTGGTTGTTCACCTTACCAATATTTATTGTCAGCTGTTTAAATTGTCTACAAGTTGGAAGTTCATCACTTTTCTTATACATATAACTTAGCATCTGGTCACAATTCATCCTAACACTCCTATATCTTGTCAGCTGTTAGTTGTCTGCCTTACCCAAATACTTGAAGTTTTCACTGAACTTAATTATATAACTCCTCAGCTTATGGCTGTTGTTTGCCTTACCCATATATCTTGACAACTGATAACTAGGTTCCACCGAATCTATGTCTTTGATGTTCCTCCTAAACCATGCACAGCCTCCCTCCACGCCAGCCGTATCCACAGATAGCAGCCCCATCTGTATCTCCTTCTCAGTAACTAAAACAAGAGAGCGGGGAGACAACTGTCAAGTTACAAGTCGACAACTGGTACCATATAACATATCTGCAAATTTTTCTTAAGAATGTTAGTATGAATTAAATGTCAGGAATCCTCTAAAATTCAATTAGAATGTACAACATCTCGTATATGGGTTGTGTATTCAATGATATTATTTGAAATATATTCTTTATTACCCGAGATGACATATTTTTTGGCCTCCTCCTCCCCGAGGACAAGCTCTGCGGCAGATTTTAGGGCATCCTGCATGGCATTGCTCTCATCCCACCAGATCTGTTTGGCCTTCTTACTCACGTCTTTGTCTCGACTGACAGAGTCAGGGAGATGCTTGCTGATAGAGGAGAGTAAGTACACTGTGGGCACAGCATTGCCGTCTCTCAGGTACCACCTAGGTCAAACATCATCTCTTAAACATGGCAGATGGCAATACAGAGACTGGATGAAAACTATATGAGGCTGACTACATAAACAATGTGTATTTATCAGTGTAATTACATGAATATAATCATTGCTAAATTGTTTGATATAATTGACCAAATTTGCATGTTTTGCTTAAAAAATTATGTATACAATCAAAATATAATTCAATTCCACACTCAAAAGGATTTCCAGTACAGTATAATAGTGCAATCAAAAGTATAGTTTGTACAGGTATGGAAGGAGGGGTCATGTACAATGTACATTACCCCCATTGCTACCCTCCACCCACAAATACACTTTTGGGATATAGAAAACAAGGCATCACAAAAGATACAAATTTCCTCCTGTGTGGTTCAGGGTAACATAATTTACAGTTCCTTGTTACATTTTACTCTTGAAACAGACCTTCACCACTACATTGTGAGGGGATGATGAACAAAGTGTCAAAGGTCTATATGCATGTATAAAGTGCCATCAGCCTCAGGTCCAATTCAAATTAGTATATTACTCTTCAAAATATAACTCAAAATATTTTGACAATTTCAGAAATTCTTGATAATATCAGCACTGTGTTCATTCAGTATTGTTTTTATATAAAAATACTTACTTTTTCAATAAGTTTTTGGCTATATCAGATTTCACAGCAGCAAATATTTGGTTAAACTCCTCTGCTTCAATAACATTTGGAAGAGAGCGGTATCCATATTTGTGAGACAGCAGGGTCTGGAAACAGTGCAGACGATTATCATTATGGAGGGGGGCATTACCCAGTAATAAATGCAAACTTCAACTTTATTGCTGTCTTTCAAAATGAACTTTCACTATTAAGGCAAACATATCTAGGCAAACACGTAGCAGAGCCATGATGATACAATTCATGTTACCGTAGTACATTATATGTATAATGCTTGTATCATTTCAGTGAGGATCAGAAATTATCCCATTATAACTTTGTTGATGAGAGAATATTAAACCAGACAGCAGTCCGAGGGACCAGACAGCAGACAGAGAGACCAGACAGCAGTCCGAGGGACCAGACAGCAGTCAGAGAGACCAGACATCAGTCCGAGGGTCCAGACAGCAGTCCGAGGTACCAGACAGCAGTCCGTGAGACCAGACAGCAGTCAGAGAGACCAGACAGCAGTCCGAGGGCCCAGACAGCAGACAGAGAGACCAGACAGCAGTCGGAGGGAGCAGACATCAGTCAGAGGGACCAGACAGCAGTCAGATCGACCAGACAGCAGACACAGAGACCAGACAGCAGTCAGAGGGACCAGACAGCCGTCAGAGAGACCAGACAGCAGTCAGAGGGACCAGACAGCCGTCAGAGAGACCAGACAGCAGCCAGAGAGACCAGACAGCAGTCCGAGGGATCAGACAGCAGACAGAGGGACCAGACAGCAGTCGGGGGGACCAGACAGCAGTCAGAGAGACCAGACAGCAGTCCGAGGGATCAGACAGCAGACAGAGGGACCAGACAGCAGTCTGAGGGACCAGACAGCAGACAGAGAGGCCAGACAGCAGTCCGAGGGACCAGACATTCAGACAGCAGGCTGAGGGACCAGAAAAGCAGTCCGAGGGCCCAGACAGCAGTCCGAGGGACTAAACAGCAGCCAGAGACCAGACAGCAGTCCAAGGGACCAGACACCCGGACAGCAGTCCGAGGGACCAGAAAGCAGTACGAGGGACCAGACAGCAGTCCGAGGGACTAGCCGGCAGCGAGAGACCAGACAGCAGTCCAAGGGACCAGACACTTGGACAGCAGTCCGAGGGACCAGAAAGCAGTCCGAGGTACCAGACAGCAGTCCGTGAGACCAGACAGCAGTCAGAGAGACCAGACAGCAGTCAGAGGGACCAGACAGCCGTCAGAGAGACCAGACAGCAGTCAGAGAGACAAGACAGCAGTCCGAGGGACCAGACAGCAGTCAGAGAGACCCGACAGCAGTCCGAGGGTCCAGACAGCAGTCCGAGGGACCAGACATTCAGACAGCAGGCTGAGGGACCAGAAAAGCAGTCCGAGGGCCCAGACAGCAGTCCGAGGGACCAGACCCTCGTACTGCTGTCCGAGGGACCAGAAAGCAGTCCGAGGTACCAGACAGCAGTCCGTGAGACCAGACAGCAGTCAGAGAGACCAGACAGCAGTCAGAGAGACAAGACAGCAGTCCGAGGGACCAGACAGCAGACAGCGGGACCAGACAGCAGTCAGAGGGACCAGACAGCCGTCAGAGAGACCAGACAGCAGTCAGAGGGACCAGACAGCCGTCAGAGAGACCAGACAGCAGTCAGAGAGACCAGACATCAGACAGAGAGACCAGACAGCAGACAGAGGGACCAGAAAGCAGTCAGAGGGACCAGACAGCAGTCCGAGGGACTAGCCGGCAGCGAGAGACCAGACAGCAGTCCAAGGGACCAGACACTTGGACAGCAGTCCGAGGGACCAGAAAGCAGTGCGAGTGACGAGACAGCAGTCCGAGGGACCAGACAGCAGTCAGAGAGACCCGACAGCAGTCCGAGGGTCCAGACAGCAGTCCGAGGTACCAGACAGCAGTCCGTGAGACCAGACAGCAGTCAGAGAGACCAGACAGCAGTCAGAGGGACCAGACTGCAGTCCGAGGGACCAGACAGCAGACAGCGGGACCAGACAGCAGTCAGAGGGACCAGACAGCAGTCCGAGGGACTAGCCAGCAGCCAGAGACCAGACAGCAGTCCAAGGGACCAGACACTCGGACAGCAGCCCGAGGGACCAGGAAGCAGTCCGAGGGACCAGACAGCAGTCAGAGGGACCAGACAGCAGTCCGAGAGATGCTTTCCACTAGGTTTTTTCTCAATAATTAAAGTTTATCTGTATTATTACTTACCACAAAATTAGGTCCTGTGGAGAGTTTCTGGCACATTTCCAGTTCCTTAAGACAGAGGTCAGTGGTACTGTGGTCATCTGATGCCTCGTCACGGACTCCCCATCTCATGTCCACCACCTGAAACTCGTATCCCTGCTCTTGACAGAATGCCTTCACACGAGGGTAGGCCTCACTCATCCAGATATTCCTCTCAAATTTGGTGTCTGTAACAATGATTGGTGTACAAGTTGGCAAACTGTACTGACTAATTAGAACCATTGAAATGACAGGAAGTACTTGTGATACACCCGCCTTCTAATATTTGATACCATATTCATTTTTAAACTGAACGATGAACATTTAACAACACTTTTATTTATTGATTATCCTGTGAATATAAAATGATTGTGAACACATGATTTGTGAATATACTTGGCAGATCCAGGTGTTGCCTGTGCCCCTGTCACAAAGCCACCCATCCCCTTTCAGGTTGACAGGTATAACACCTAATATGGGAAATCCTGACCTCAGTTTTTTCATTGTTCCTTAACCCTTTCACCACTGTAGACCATAATGAACTTGTCAGGATCAATGCATAAGAGAGTCTACTACAGTCGCATAGGGGTGAAAGGGTTAACTTACAGTATGGAAATGCTTGGCTGCAGTTTTTCTATATTTAAGAATTATTAGATAATAGGTAAAATCTGAAAATGTTCTTTACTTCTGTGATGCTTTCTGTTTGGAAAAAAGAAGAAAAAAAATATTCTGACAATCCTTGTTAAGTTTACCTGTGAATGTACTACTGGTGAAGATCCTGACAATCTTTGCCAGTGTCGGTATAGACATGGTCATGTCCCCCAGGAGCGAGGGGTGCACCTTAGGAAGCTTTGACATAGCTTTCTTTGAAGCTTCCAGCAGCATCGATTCTGTGTCATTTATCATTCTGGTCATCTCATCCAACTGGTCAAACATGTGTTGGTGACTTGTCATGGGCTGACCACCAGGAACTGAAGCAGGTGCCCTCATTCCTGGGAGGGGTGGCGGAGGTGGCGGTGGCGGAGGTGGCGAAGGAGGGACAGAGGGGGCAGCTGATTTGTCATCCAGTGGATGTTTTTCCGTGGAAGTTGTTTCATGTTGCTTTCTGAAACATGGATTATCAAATATCGATATCAATGCAATATTAAACACTGATTATATTTATCTATACATCCCTCAACACAACGTCTGTCTTCAGTTTATCTGCTGCTATCTCTTTTAATTACCTCCAACATATTTTAATTAAGGAGGCTCCACCCTTTCGCAATTAGCCAGCAGAATTCAATAAAAGTTTCACATAATGGTTATGTCACTATGCAGAGATGATTTTATGAAAATCTAAGCATTCCGAAAAAACTGGGGATTTTTTTGTAAAAGATACTGAAAAAAATGATTTTTTGTCAAATTCAACACTTTCATATTTTTTGAGCGTGTGGCATTGTTCAAAAGTATTACAACAATAAATCATGAAAAGAAACATTGCTAATCAACCCTACAAATATTTTATTTTTCATAAAATATCTACAACATGTTACAAAAAGCATTTTTTATTGAAATTGTATGGATAAAAGTTACTAAATACAAGCTAAAAGCAAACAGGACACATAGTTTCATATAAAAAGAGTGAAAAATTGAACTAAATATACACAAAGTCTTTGTAATTAATTTACTTTACATTTTACAATAATTTTGATCCTGATGAATGTTGTCTACCTTGAAAAAACTTTTTGCAGAGGGATAGAATTTATACAATGACACTTATTTTCGTTACAATACCAAAAACTACGGAAATAAATTAAATTACTACATTTAATTGTCAATTTACTGTTCTTTTATGGGACAAAATTACTCTCAATTATGTACACTTTGGACATCACTCCATAGCCCGCTTACGCATGGTATATTAACATGTCAGGTACATATGTAACCATAGGATATTGCATGGTATGCTGTTATTACGTGCACGCACATGCACTTGCATTTTATAGGGATATTGATATTTTACAAACCACTCTTTTCACAGAGTTATTGTAGTTGCATTTGTGAACCGATTTATCTGACAGAGCGTAACTCGCTCGGCAACAAATATCATAGTGACCAAGAGTTTGTGAACTACTGTTAGCACGTGATACGTACAGGTGAGGTCGGTAAACAAAACACATCTGTCCGCATTCCATGCACCTCATATACGACCTTCTTGAAGTCGTCTGATCGTATGTCAGTGTTTTCCCGTCCCGTGAGTTAATTAATGTCTTTGTATCATAAGCTTTATTTATGAAGTACGTGTGATTACACATTTCCAAGTTAGTCTCGATATCAGGTGTTGACATATCATCATCACGCACGTGTACTAGACTCTATTGTTTACCCAGTGTTACTATAACTTACACTACGGTAATGGAATGCCCGATACACAATACGGAAAATACAACAAGAACAACATGTGTATTACGAAGGGTGGGAAGTCCTTAAGGTCCATTATTCTTTTTTTAAAGCATTCCTTACATAATTCCCTCAATTTACTGCCAAAACCCCTTTATAATGCCAAAATCACTCTGGATAAATGGAGGCAGTACAAATAGATATAATATATATGCAAGCCTGTGGGATTACCCCACAAGTACAAGCCTCATGATCTGTCAATACACCCATACTAAAAATATATTATGGGTGTATTGACAGACAAGGCTAGTTCCTGTATGGCATTATACAGTTATTGTATGGGTGTGAGGGAAATTGAACTTTTATTGTCCCCTGAGACATTGCTGAGGGAAATAGTTAATGTAAAAGGGGACAATAAAAGTGCTATTTCCCGAAATACCCATAAAGTAACCGTTTTATTATACCAACAACAAATTATTCAATTTCTTTTGTAGAGATTGATTTAATAAAGCCAGCTTGGTGAAATGAATTGGAATGAAATTATCATGATGGTAATAATATGAACTGCCCATGGTGAAATGAAGGTGTCCATCAATGTTTTTTCTGACCAATTTTTTTTCTGACCAACTTTTTTCAGCAATTTTCTTTTAGTTTACTTCAATTTGTTGTCCTGTATATGAAATAATCCACAGTTCATATTACCATGGGCTTCACATCATCATTCTACACCGGTACGTATTGACTTTAGCAAGTCTATAATCTCCCGGTGTATCATGGTATTGTCAAGCATGGTGAAATGAACCGTGGTTCATATTACCATAATGGTGAAATGAACCACCCCATGGTGAAATGAACCGTGGTTCATATTACCATAATGGTGAAATGAACCGCCCCATGGTGAAATGAAGGTTTCTATCGATTTCTATTCTGACACACTTTTTTCCATTCATTTTCTTTAAATTTACTTCAACTTGATGTATTCTTTCTGAAAACCACAAAATTTATGTCTGGGGTAGAGATATTTAGGGTGGGGCAGGGGCACTTCACTTAACCATAATGGTGAAATGAGGTATCATCTGCAAAGAGTTTTATATGAGAAGTTACATTATTAGTAATATCATTAATAAAAAGAAGAAAGAGGAAGGGACCAAGGACAGATCCTTGAGGAACCCCTGCAGACATAGGTTTGGTACTAGATTTATAAGCTTCAAAGATAACCCTTTGTTTTCTGTCAGATAAGTAAGCTTTAAACCAATTGTATAATTTACCTTTAATACCATATGTTTTTAGTTTATATAATAGGCCCAAATGCCATACTCGATCAAATGCTTTACTTATGTCACAGAAAACAAAACGCAAATCTTTACCTTGGTCTAAATTGCCACTTATAGTGTTATAGATATCAGCTAGTTGATTAGTAGTGGAGTCTTTGGGTTGAAATCCTGACTGATGTACACTTAACATATTGTGACTTGAAATATAATTAAAAGTATATTTAAAAATATTTTTTTTAACATTTTGATAAAAATAGATGTAATAGCAATATATAATTATTGAGATCACTGATATCTCCTTTACCTTTATAGAGAGCAGTAATATTAGCCGTTTTTAGTACATCAGGTATTACTCCAATAGATAAAGTTCTATTAAAGAAGCAGAAATGTTCTTTAAAATCATAGGTAAAATACCATCAGGACCAGCTGGTTTGTTTTTATTAAAAATGTCAAATTGGTCAGTTATATCTTGTTCAGTAATGTTAATGTCAGAAAGTTCAAATGGACATAAGGGAGGTAAATCAGGTAGGTTAGTGTCAGTAATATCAGAGGCAATGGTGGTAAAGAAGTTATTTAGTGCCTCAGCTTTATCTTGTGGATGGATTAATATTTTATTGTTAGATTTTAGAGGATAAGAATTAGTGCTAGTGTTATTCATTTTTCCTATAGATTTTGCTATCTGCCACCATTTTCTTGGATGCACTGTTTTGTCGGCAAGACAATTTTGAAGTTTCTTAAAGTAATTTTCTTTGGATTGCCGAATAATTTGTATAGTGTCATTGCGACAAGTTCTAAATTTTGCCCAATCTTGTTCCCTATTTTTATTTTTAGCTCTTTTATGTAATCTATTCTTATATCTTAATTTATGCCGAATTTCACCAGTCATCCAAGGTTTATCATCAGGATGGACAGTAATTGTTTTGTGAGGTATATGAGAGTTAGTAGCAGAGTTTATTTTGTTTATAATAGTAGAATATAGTTCATTAATGCTAGTAGTGTTATTAACTATGGAATCCCAATCATTACTAAGTAGTTCATTATTAATAGCATCCCAATTAGCTTCATTGAACTTATATATAGGTTTCTTGAATGGTTTATTTTTTAGTGTCTTAAAACAAATGTTAGCAAGGATGGGGCAGTGATCACTACAGAGAGGGGAAAGTACATTTGTTGAGGTAAAAATGTTTACATTATTAGTAATAAATACATCAATTAAGGTAGCAGTAGTGTTTGTAATGCGTGTTGGTGATTGTATTAAGTTTTTTAAGTGATATTTAGTAATTAATCTTGCAAGATGTGAATTAGGTTTCATTGTGATAAAGTCAATATTTATGTCACCAGTGATAATGATATTAAGATTAGTATTAGAAAGATTATCTAAAATGTTATCAAGTTTATTCCAGTAATCTACTTTTGTATTAGGAGGTCTATAAAGACAGCAGAGAAGTATTTTTTTGTTAGAAGTGTTAATTTCTAGGATGACAAGTTCTATGTCTTCAGTTTCAAGATCAGTTCTGTGATTTATTAAGAGGTTGTTTTTAGTATATATCATAATACCACCACCGTGTTGTGATTGTCTGTCTCTACGATATGAGTTGGGATGTGAGTTAATTTGCAAATCAGATTCAGTTATTTCATTATTCAGGTGAGTTTCAGTAAGACATAGGATGTCATAGTCAGTGAATTCAGTATCTATAAGATCAACCTTGTTCCGAAGAGACCTAACATTTAAGTGCATTATTGATAAATCATTATAGTAGTTTCTTTGATTAATACTGATTGATGAGCGACCTGGATTAGAGTGAATATTTCCAGACATCAGAAGTAGAAGTTTTATAACAAACAGAATGTATAAAATATCTTGAGTATACATGTAGTGATATCATATTGGTATTACAGGCAGTAATAGAGGAAGATCTATAGTATAGCTTACAATCACACACAAACATACTTACAAACTACTAACACACCAAAAAATGAAAAAATAAAAATAAATAACAATAAATAAATAAATAAGTAGAGACTTGAGGAAAGAAATAACAGTAGGGACTGATGAAAAATAATATTCTCAGAATGTGGAAAGCATCAATTTGATATTTTAAATATAATTTCATAGGGAGTGGTATACTGAACTTAAGTATTATCAACACAATTAATAACAGTAGTTTCTTGAGTTCAGTGTAACATGTTCAACTACAAGTGTATAATTCAAAGAAAAAAGAAAAAAATCAATTGAAGCAGATAAACAAATTAATTATTTTAAATACATATATACAAATATTTATATACAGACAGAACATGAAATCAATCATTTGAGACAATCATGTTATATTTTAAGATTTATTCATATACTAGTAACCTAAAGTTACATGTATAAGAAGAAAAATAATGAATAGTTACAGATTATCAGTGGTGTAAGGGAGATAACCTATTCAGAGAGGTAATCTATACATATACAAATAATGCTATTAGTGAGCAAAAGTTGGCTGAATTTCAAGAAATAAAGCAAATATTATAAGTATACGGTAGGTTCTATTATCACAATTAAGACGAAAAGATTTATTTTTAAATATAAGTATCCAATGACAAATATAACATGGAGTTAGATACCTTATGAAAACCCGAGAGAAAAAACAAGAAGATTTATCAAGAGCAGACACAACAATCATAACAAATAGCACATAAACATGAAAAAAAAATCAATAATTAAGTATGTAATAAATAAAAATAAAAAATGAACACAAGCAAGACACAAAAAGTTAAGCAATTAGAGAAGCACAAGCAAATTGAAATATTGGTTGCTAATAATATGTATATATATAGTTTACCATACATGCATGTATATACATAAAGCAAAATAGTTAAGTGACTTGCTTGCAAGTTATTAGTCAAGCATAAAGATTATTCAAAGGCAATTACATGTAATGATGCCAGACACGATATAGATTATAGCTGTATTGAGCTATAATCTCTCAGATTTCAATTTTCATTAAATTAAATCAAAGTCGCATAAAACAATAAAGTTTATGGTAATGTTGACTACAAAAAGCATACAGTTACATGTTTATTTTCATTTTTCATAAATGCACGGAATTAGAATAGATCTAAGTCCGTGATAAATGTAAAATTTCCGATTTTTTTGCGTCATTATTTTTTTAAAAGAATACTTATATTTGATGTCTTTTGTTATCAACCTCATGATACGATCTTCTTTTAAAAGCGACTTTGTTTCGTTTTCCTTAAAAAAGAAAATCACTTGAAAATAGCTCATAAGACTTAATCCAGATAGGTCAATAGAGTTATTATAGGTCTTTACAGCTATATAGCTCAATCGGCAGAGTGTACTGGACCTGATATTAGCGCCAACAGTCGTGCTCCGAGTACATGTATTGTGTCTTCAAACTTACCTGTCACTTATTTCAACACCTGTGTTGTTAGCACCTGATAAACGTGACAGCTGATACAGGTACTGACGGTACATTTTCCTTTACGTAGGTCGCTACATGCAAAGAACCATCCTCTCTGATCACTGTAGTTTGGGAAAGGGTTTTCTCCCTGAGCTAAAAATAGACGCCGATGTTTTTCTCCTTTATGTTAAACACTGACCGTCGTCAAGTCGCGCAATTCGCGTTTATTTACAGATCACCGAGTGCTCTTTCACAAACATCTATAAATTACCCCCACGTGCGTATTCACTCATTTCTATACGGGTCAGAGTTCACATTTCTGATTTGTCTCAGCAGTAGTGCGCTTACAAATGAAATCGAATCAGACACCGATCGCAAGCCGCGTTATTTCCCGCCTCGTTTTTAAATATTTCACATTGCAATCCCTGTGATCGACACTAAAATGACCCAGTGGCTGAAAAATGGGTTATCAGCGAGAGGGCTTTTCAAACCCACATGTGATAAATATGATGGGTATACGCAGAGACGTATATAACACTCTGGTATATATACGTCTCTGGTATAAGCGCTGGTTACTTCAATACCTTATATTTTAACTAAAACATTTATTTTTGGTATATTTATAGCCTTTGGTTGATTACTTCCGCAAATGTTTTTTATTTGATGTTATTAATTATAAAAAAATACAAATGATTTACGCATGAAATTACAAAAACTGTGGGATAGGGAATGAAAAGTCGTGACGCACTATTGTGTCCCTGTGGGATAGGGAATCAACACAGTAGCATAGCAAATAATTTTTGGAAGTGTATGCTTACATAGCCGGGGAAAATTCCACTAGACCCTAAAAGTAATCTCCCGTGTATTAACAAGTAACAATTTTACTTGCTGAAAAAGGCCTTGAAATGAACACGGTATAATATGTTCCGTCGGACTAAAATGTTCAAGAAGATCTTTTTATTTTATTTCCGTTTTACGATTGATACGAACGGTCTATATTATTCATAAAAAAATAGAAATTAATCAAAATATATGATAAAAAAATCTTCTTGAACATTTCAGTGTGTGTTTGAGCATACATGTATGCTACGCCACTGAATTGCATGTATATATATACACTGTATATAGGAAGGTTTCTGGAAGAACGCTTTCGCTTGTGTCACTTTATGCTGACATTTGACTATAACGTGACGAACACGTATGTTTGTGATATTTATAAGACATTAGTTGAAACTGCCTACCAATTAAAGCTTGATATATAACACATTCACATAATCAGGTATTGTTTTGTTCATTGAGGCTGCATCGTGCCTTGAAAAGATAGTCACTATTGTGACATTCATGCCTATGTATATCAATAAACATTTAAGTATTTTAATTATGTTTTTATGTTTTTGTGATGCTGATTCTCTTTTATTTATAATATCACTGATTATTTAATCGAGAAAAAAATGGAGTTTTATTTTATTTTCAAATACCAAGGGCTCTGGTAACACAGTCTTGAATACATGCGTGTATATATATATATATATATATATATATATACAATTGTAGATCTGCACTGAAATATGAATTCTCAAAAATGGGGTCCTGTCATACGAAGTAATTTTATTTATTTATTTCTCCTGGTATGGCTGTCCTGCCATAGCTGTTGATAGGACGTTAAACAATACTAAACCAAACCAGAGACGTATAATGTATTATACGTCTCTGACCAAACCAAACCAATCTCCTGGTATGGATGATTTTATTATTTGGCCCGATGTTTTCGATGATGCTTTTCGCTAACTATTCTTTTATTTATTTATTAACATTTGCAGATTGATCCAGATGTAAAATACTCCTTAACAATGTAATGATCTATGTCTTAATGTTGTCTTTTTCAGTTAGATTGAATTTTTTAAACTTTCATTATTAAAATTACACAATTAGTGTACTCAGTGCTCAATCCGTCGTTACGCGACGCATGTTATCCACACGTTTAGCATTATTTGCATCAAAATTTCAGTTCCTGAAAAAACATATTATCTCCTTTTCGTATATAAAACTGTACAACCTCATCTACATAAAAAAAAGTCCAAGAAGCTAACAACCAATAAACAATATTTTATTTCTTCGTTACTATGACCCTGAATAATACATACGTTGTCGTAAATCATATTGATAACATTTATATGAGCCTTGGTTTGCGACGCGTGTATTATTCATATTACATCTCAGCGCGCACCTGTTAACCGGAAGTACTTAGACGTCATATATCGGGTGTGTGTCGAGAGTGGCGTTCCTGTTTGTACTGGTTCTGGCAGTATACATTCTTTCTCCAGCTAGTTCCCATGAAAAGAGGGTGAGCAGTTGCAACCTTAATTAGTATATCGATATTTGGAATGACATCTTTGTTCAATTTACTCTCCGTGCATTTTGGCCCCTGTCTACGCCTAACCCTGAAGTACATCGCATGATGATGACAGGTGTTCTAATCCTCGGGCACAAGATAACTTGTGCCTAGCTAATTATTGGTTTGCAGTGATCGTGTACTACTAACAGTGCATATGTGAACGGTACCTTATTAATGCAAGGGCGTTCAAATCTTCTTTAAACCCCCTAGCACCCCCATAGCCACCCCACTCCGGATGGGATCCCCTCCATGACTCCCGGCGTCATTGGTGACTTCATGACTGAACTCTTTAGCTAAGCTATATAATTAGAATCAGAAACTAGTATATAATCTGAACGACCATAATCTGTATATAGTACACGGGTGCTGGACATGCTTATATGATGATACATATATATATCTGGGATCGTTTATGATGTGTATTTTGCCAGTACAAGAGCAAATACTTGACATACAATTTTGGTAGATTAGACGATGATGATGAATTGTTAGTAGCAATATATAGATGGTTCACACTATTGGTACAACCTGTACTGTGTATCAGATATAGCCACAGGTAGATAAGTCAATATTTACAGTATATACTTACACATCTTCTATTTTAGCAAATTGTAGATATACAAGTTGCCGAATTCCATAGTGACCTGTTCCTTGTTTAAGACCTTAATGTATACATATACACAAGACAAACAGTATATGTGCTCCACAGCAGTCATAACAATAACAAAAGGATGAAAATATCGGGTAAAACAAAAAAGATGATTTCTTCAATGTCCTCTAATCAAATTATAAGTTTGAGAATAGATTTGGAATAAATTTAAATCCTTTTAGCAATAAGCTGTAAGTATAATTAACCATTAAACACTTTACGTAATGGTCATTATAAATATACACATGTACTGTCTGAAGCGTAGCAAATAATTTTTCGGAGTGAATGCTCACAGGGGGTCAAGCATTCGAGGTGTGTAGGGGAGGGGAGGGGAGGAGGAGAAAAAAAAGTAATCTACTAGGCCCTAGAAGAAATATTGTTTCAAATTTTATACTTCACTTAGTAGTTTTTGAGTTACATGAACCTTTCAAGATTTTTCATTTTGTATAGACATAACACATTTTCAAGAAGATTTTTTTTATTCTTTCCTTTTTTTCTGATAGATACGAGCGTTCCAAATTAATCACAAAAAAGTTATTATTGAAAAGATATGATAAAAATATCTGGAAAATTTCAGTGTTTGCTTGAGCATACAAGCATACATGTATGCTATGCCACTGACTGTATTAGCTACATGTAGAGTACGTAGAGGTGTCCTCGACTATGTGTTGTCCATCTGTGGTGTCTGTATTGTCGTCGTGTGTTTTCTACGTGTGGTGTTTTCATGTGTCGACAGGTCATGCAGTCACTATTAAAGTGTGCTGGGATTTTTTAAATTAATTATCATATACTTATGGATTTGAACATCCAAACAAACAACTGAATGGACAATAAATAAATCAGATAGTGATCACAGATCAGAGGGATTACTGCTTATTGAGATACAGAATTCTGTATTGTATACATGTAGATGTACAGGATTAGGGCTGATGACTACACAGATCTTGTGTAGGATTATATTCATACAATTAGATCAACAAATACATCTATAATATATCCTCCAGGAAAGTGTCAGTTGTCTGATCAGATACAGGATGTAACATCCATGTTGACAGGTTTATTGGCTGATCAATCTGGTCTTTTGCACATCTACCAAGTACCGGGGTATGCAATGTATCATTTGCTTAACTAAGTCATCCATTTAATGTATCCATTTGACAGTGTTGCATATTAGTCCATGAACTAGTAAAAATTACCAATTCTTGTAACAATTTGTTTAACATAGCATTAGTGTGTTTTGCACCAGTTACCCAGCTGTTTAACAGAAGAATGTGATGATGATAACAGGTATCTTTGGTGCTGCACTTCGTTGAAGTTCTGTTTTCTGTTATTGCTTGCTGTGACTTCCTGCACGCTGTGTATCATCTGTGGAGTTCATACATTAATACACCTTTCATTTTCTAACATAACTGGTATCTTTGCTTGTTTTTTTGTTTTTTTAAGTAAAGTAAAAGTAATTGATAATGTAATTTTCATATATTTTCAAATGGTTTAAATTTCAGGAATTCATTATTGTTTTAAATAGTCATTTGTTCATTCAAATTGTGATGAAAGAAATTGCAATTTTTCTTTTAAAACGAAACATTGTTTGTCTTGAAACAATAACAAAATCAGAAGAAATTGTTGTTTAATTGTCCATTTTAACTGGAAAATATTGATCATTCAAAAAGATTTTCAAGGAATAATTTTATCATTATTTTAACCCCCCAAAAAATGTAATTAAAAAGAATTATTGAAAGCGAGATTTTTTGTCCTCTTTAGGTGTTATAGGTCACTGCATGATACACTGTGTTTCAGGTGAGGAATGCATGCATGGATAGTAGGCACAAATACTTTGGCGATCTGTACTTAAAGGTAAAGTCTGTACATCAATTTGTGTCCAATACAATCTTCATCAAGGCATTTCCTACATTATGGGTCATGATCATTTCCACCACTGCCTTCAGCATAGGTCCCTACAACTTCGCGAGCCAAGGGTGTTCAGTTCGATACTCTCCTATTCACAATAGGAGAGTATCGTATTGAACACCCTTGGCTCGCAAAGTTGAGGTCCCTACAGAAACCCCAAAACATGTTGTTGTGGTAGAATCTAAGTTTACAGTTTGCTTTTGTAGTTTATTTACTTGTTTTTTTAAATAATCACGTTTTGCAATAATTTACATTCATCTTTTTTATCATTTCTTTTTGTATATAATCTTATACACTGTACGCATGTTGCACTGTTATAAATATTATGTACCCTGTATTGTACATGTCAATGTTGCACTGTACGTGTTGTATCCATGTTACATACCCTTGTACAGTACTAGTGTTGTTCTGTTATAGATAGGTTGGTCTTTATTGTACAATGATGTACATTCTGTTGTACATTGCGGTTCATTTTGTTCAATACTCCCAGCTGTTGAAAGTGTGTTGGGATTTTCAGAATAAAAGATATAATATAGAAATCAAAATTGGCCATAGAGATATTTTGTTTCATGCATTTAGGTACTACTCTTCAGTGAAAATGCTATCAGACATGTTGAGATTGGATTGTAAAGAAAATCAATTTCCCTTATATTTATTCAGCATCATTTGATTGTACTCTCACTATAATAAACTTATTGAACTGCTGCCTTTCTAACGTCGTTCATGGTCAATATGATGTAATGTAATGTACACAAGTACTAAGTCAATAGGACAACAATGCCAGGTTTACACATGTTCATGAAGGGCTCCATTTGGAAGGAAGGAAATGAGAAGTGTTTGTATGTTTTACCTGAAATATATTATTAGTTTCAGAGATTAATTAAGCCATGTGTCAATTATTACAATAATATTTCATATCAAAGAAGTGACATGCATGTGGCCTGCAATCTCAAAGTTCAGGCTTTATAGCAATTCTTGAATTATTATTACACAATTTGGCTATGTATAACAAAGTACCTTTTAATTTGCTCTTTATCAGTGTACATTGTACATGTGAGTCAGTGACCTCATTAACCATTCATATTCCTAGCACTAAACATGCATGTACCCTGTATACTGTATGTCATATTTCAAGACTGCATACAGGTATATCATATCATGGGGGTAATCCTGATAGTCGCTATTGTTTGGATTACGTCGGAGTAAAAAGTTAGTTTTGCGCCGAATACGGCTTACGGCAGAGTAAAAAGCTCCCATGATGGAAGAACGTGAGAGGTATTTTTGCGCTTTCTTGTATATAAATACTGAAAACTTGCCAATTGTAACTCAGTCTAAATGCTACAAGTATGTCTTAAGCTGCTATATCAATATTTAAATTTTTAGATTGAATTCACTCATTCACTCAGGTTTTGAGTAAATAATCATATATATACGAACATCAGTTTACAAACAGCTTTGTGGAGATTTTAATGCAATAACTATTTAATTAGATTACTTTTACACAACACATGTCTTGGTCAATGACCCATCAACAAAACAACATTGAAAAGTCTGAACTAAAAACAAGTTTTAGCGATATATTTATATCAAAATATGCAGTTGGTATGTATGCTGATACGGATTACGACCCTGTATGATACAGATTATGATCAAACAATCATATGTTAACTAAATGAAAATCAATGATTTAACAAATTTTAGGATATTTTCTCGGTCAAACAGCATCACATAGGAACAAATAGAATGTTGAAAATTGACTTTCTTATTTAATAATAATAGTATTATTGTAGCTATTTACTCCATTTCATTGACACAGGGAATCGTTTTATTCATCTTCATATCAAACACACGTTGGTTTGTGTATTACCTCAGAATATTCATAATTGAAGTATTAAATCTAATATGACACGTGTATGTGATAGTATCTATACCTTCAAGCTTTTTTGTTATCATTGTTTCAACTTTGTTGCTTATATCACATCATTATATTTACGTAATCTTGTATTTCGCTACAACAATCTTCAAATAGTGGGAGATTTTTTTTTCTGCTGTAAGCCGTATTTGGCACAAAACTAACTTTTTGCTCCGACGTAATCCAAACAGCGAGTATTACTATGACGTAAGCAAAATAGCGAGTATCAGGATTACCCCTGTGAATATAGCCTTTTTATGCCGTACTACAGCGTCCATCATGCGTCCCTTAACTTTTCTTTTGAACGACTTCTTCTAAAGAACTGTAGGACCTAGTGTCATGATATTTTGCCAGTAGGTACCTGGGATGGAGTGCTATAAAGTTTTCTCATTAGAATGACCTTGACCTAGTTTCAAGGTCAATCATGTTAAAAACTTCAAACAACAATATCCTCAACTTTAAGTGCTAGCCAGAGTCAAAGGTCAACGTTAAAATATTAAAATTTCAAATTTTGTTCTAGTTAACAAATTTGAAGTTACCTGTCAGTTTCATGTAACAAAAGAAACAGGTGAGCGATACAGGCCCTCTGTGCCTCTTGTTTATAATCAAACTGAGACATATTTAATCCCATGGAGACATTGTTTATCTTTTACCCAACAGAGACATGGTTTTTAACCACAATGAGACATTGCTTTTTACCACATTTAGGACCCCTTTTTAACCACACATACTTGTTTTACCAATCACATACATGCACTTTTTTAACTACCAGAGACAGAGACGTAATTCTTCGTGTTTTGCCACACACAGAATTTTACTCCCATTAGACAGTTTTTTTACCACACAATGACTGCCTTTACATATTTCTAACCAACAGATCTAGCGACATCACTTTCTTGTATTTCATCCAAACACATATGTTGTTGTATGCTTTTTACCCACATATATGTAATTGTATTTGTTTGTTTACCTCACAGAGGCATTGTATGGGAAGCAGAGCTACAAGATTAGCCAAACCAGCAATAGCCAAAATGACGGCAGAAGGGGAATGTGCCAAACATGCCAAGATACAACGGGTAGACAGTTTCTTAGAACGGCTTCACGAAAAAGCGAGATGTGAAATTTATCCCAGAACACAGATGAAAAGATTTAAGGTAGAAGACAAATATGTGAAATGGAATGTAGAGTATCCTGACTACACCCCAGTGGTTTACACGTCTGAGGGTGTATTAAAAGGTCCTGTCTGGGCAGACCCAGATCTACTGTAAGTATACCAGAAAAAAATGTCATCGTTTATTCCATCTAAAAATTCACATCCAACAACGATCTTAATGTATGTATAAAACAATGAAAAATAAAAGATTTTTGTAGTATGAACATTTGGGAGTAGATCTTGCACCTACCAAGCGACAATATTCGCTAAAAATAATTCAAGCCAGAAAGTCTCTGTTAGCCCAACATCTAACAGTTTTAATGGGTAATCAGGATAGCGCACTCGACTTTCACCACGACGTCTGGGGTTGAAATCCATGATCAAAAGTGAAAAGTTAGAGGACCGGTCACAACTTTCTGAGCTTTTTAATAGAAAAAGTTTACTATATAGTCCACCTGTCACATATGCCAGTGAGTTATGGTGTAGCACCAGATTGTCGTCCCTCAGTCTCTCAGTTCACACTTTTTGTTTCCAGGGATTATCTCCGAATTCCTATGTATGAAATTGCTGAAATGTCACATGCTGATACATAGTTATCTTCAAATGTACAACATGGGTTTCAAAAGTTCCTGATAGTAAAGTAAAGGTCCAGGTCACTGTTACTAAAAATAAACCAGGGCTGGTATTCTTGAAACGGTTCTCATGCTCAAGCAAAGATTTTGTGCTCAAGCTGAATTTCTTGTTCCGTTTATAATTATAAATTAATAATGATTTTTTGTTTTTTTCAATTATTTCGGAAAAATTTGAAGAGACTTAAAGCCAAATACTGTTTTAAATCATTACATTTGACTTATTTGGTTGTTTGACATGATGCAAGTGAGGTGTACATGTAAGAAAGTCAATTTGAGCACAAAATCTATGCTTCAGCATGAGAACAGTTTCATGAATGCCCAGGGCATTCAGGGATATAATGTTAGAAATAGTTAAACATTGTGTTTTCCTTTCTGACCGGCTACTTTTCAATTTTGTGGTAAAACGCATTTCGTGAATATATCCTGTGAATGACTTGATATTACAAAGACATCAAATTCCAAGATGGTCACTGTCAATAGTTTGTCACTTCTGATTGGCCGAGACATAAATGGCTATAATGTTGGTTCTAAAGGTATGATTTTGTTCATACTAAGTGATATTTATTACTTTGAGGATAATCTACAAACAGAACGAGTACCTATTACATCACACAGTATCTCGATCATTAATTCAAATGGTTGTTACAGTTTCTAATTGGCTGTGACCATTTGGTTAGCTTCAGTTCTGTCGGTCTGATTACCTTACTCGTTGTTAAAAGTTCATTGTACTTGTTGAACTACATATACATGTTTAACATCATTACTTATACATTGTATTCTAAAATCCAAGATGAATGATCCCTGTTGGGCTTCTGCATGATGATTATGGAGGATACATATAACGAGCCACACAGCAGGGTCCTTGCTGACCTGTCGGTGTTATATATATATCGTACATGTATTAGTAATGTCCAGAAAGTCACAATGCTACATTGATAGCTTTAGACCATCCTTCCACACCTTTGATCGGAAAATGTTATTGATCTTTTCTTTTTACATGGAATGTAGAACAACGAAAGCTGATATTAAGTGGAATGCTGTTCAGAATAATGTGAGTCGAGTCAGCCACATGGGACCGTATCGTATAGAGGACAATCTTCCAAGGTATGTGGACATTTTGCCAATTTGGTTTACCGAATTTTCCATCATTGTGCTGTTAAACAAAACAGTTATAATAGTCTCGTAAGTATTTATTCTAAACCATAAAAATGGAATTTCTTTGATTATCTTTATGTCCACATTTAATGTTTCAATTTTTCTTATTATTACTTGGATTGATTCTTCAGTTCATTGTTAAATTGCATTAAAGGTGTGCCTACTGTATATAGTTTGATAGTATTGCAGCTGGCCGCAGATTTTGTTACAGTGCTAATGTGATTATAAATGGTTGTTTTCAGAAATCCAATAGGACGCACAGGAGTGAAAGGTCGTGGGTGTTTAGGTCGCTGGGGACCAAACCATGCTGCTGATCCTATTGTGACAAGGTAAGGTTAACAGAAGGTGTTTGGATTAGGTCATAAAATATAATTGATTAATTTGCATCCAGAAGTACATATGTATAAGGTAAGTTGATGTTTTGGTTGTATATTGAGAGTAAAAGTGCACATGGAATCTTTGGGCTAAATTTGAGAGACATATGGGACATCTATCTTTCTATCTTTACATCAAATAAACAAGTACATGTATGAGTGAAAAACGAATGTCAGCAACAATACATATCACATTTTGCCAACAAGCATTATCTGCAACAAGTCATCAGTGTTATAGTGTATAAATCTAAAACATGAATTTCTATCATTAACAACTAGATTTGGCATTACAAAGTCATATTGTAAATAATGCCTTGGTGATGGTCATAACTGTTTGCCAGCTAATCCTGTTCTGATAACCCAGGGCAATAAATGATTTTACAGAATTTTTAGGTCACCTGAGCTTTAGCTCAAGTGACCTATTGCTATCCGTTTTCGTCCGTCGTCGTCCGTCGTCCGTTAACATTTTACATTTCAAACTTAAAGTCAAGTTCTGCTGGGCCGATTAAACTGAAAGTTGGTAGGAATGATCGCCTCATGGTCCTGACAAAGTGTTGTTATTTTTCGGGTCGATCAGAAATCCAATATGGCCGCCACGGCCGCCATTTTGAAAACCTATTTCAAACTTAAAGTCAAGTTCTGCTGGAC